TTGGTTTTGGGTGTTGAGGTGGGGGTGGGGGGGGGGGGGGGGGGGGGGGGGGGGGGGGGGGGGGGGGGGGGGTATGAGGAGACTGCAGAAAAGTCTAGTTGATGAACGATGGACATGACAGCAGGCAGGACGGAGGAAGAGAGAGAGAGAGAGAGAGCCTGCAGCACAGGCGTCAGAGAGACCAAAGGCTGCATGCGAACACACGGCAGGAGTAATGAGGAGGAGAGAGGTTTCCCCCTGGGGGTGGACGATAAAAATACAGTCTGGCAGACGACTGTCAGGAAAAGTGTGAACGTATCTCGTTTGTGTGTAGTTTCGGGCCTCAGACTAATTTATCAACGCTTTAGAAACACTAACATCGACTATAACATACTTAATAACGTCATTTCCAAAACAGTTGGTACATTTTGTGTAATTAGAACTAAAATATTATTTATTTTTAAGACAAAAAAAATATGTTTAATGATTAAAATTAGAATTCGGTGTCAGAACAGAGTTTGAGAGCCTGACTGGCCTTCCTGCAGTCCATATCTGTCTAGGTAAGTTATGAAGACAACACTGACCTCTAGTGGTCGAGCAGCGTAATTCTTTCGTTCAGTAAAATTGAGCAAACATTCTTGAAGAACCAGAGACAATGCAAGGATTGGAAATCACTGTTCCAAAACTGAAAATTCACAGTTTGGAAAAAAGAAAAGAAAAAAAAAGGAAAAGAAAGAATTAGAAAAATAGTTCTTTTTACTAAAATTAGCTTAGAAAAAAAAGTGACAAATTTCTCCAGTCATTGCAGTGATAATATTCTCTGTTGTTATGAAAAGCGTTTTCAAAGAGCTGTTTAGAACTGTGAAAAATTCTCAGGGTGTCCTCGGAGCACTGGGATGTGATGGTGGTGGAGAAAATCCTGTGAGGGAGGGAGAGAAGGGTGTGTGCGGGTGAGAGCAGGACATAATTGAATGGAAAAGGCAGTGAGAGAGTTTTTCTTTTTTTCTTTCTTTTTTTTTTTAGAGTGGGTGGGTACGGGTGTGTGTTCCACAGACTTGTTGGTATAAAAGCTCTCCCTCCCTCACGTGCACTCCCATATCTCCAGTGTTAGTGTGGAGGGGGCCCTGCCGCTGCATGTTTGGACCGAGGACTTGTACAGGAACTTCCCAGGATGCATCAGTTGCTCGCAGTGACCTCAGTGCTGGTGGCACTTTGCACATTAGGGAGTGTGGATTCATCCGCCTATGACAAGATCGTCACCCACAGCCGCATACGGGCCAGGAAGGAAGGGTAAGAACCCACAGGGGTGAGATGAGTGCGAAGTGGAACAAGTGTTCCAAATGAGAAGAGTTTAATTGAACACAAACTGCAGTGGTTAAAGGGACATTACACCCTGTTACTGTTCTCTGAACATTTAAAATTTGAATGAAAAAAAAATTGATAAAATTTAAATCAGGGAATCTTCTAGGAATCTTACACTGCCTGTTTGTCTTAAACCTGTGATGCTCCAGACCACAGAGCAGTGGGATGCTGGGAAAGTCATATTTCACACCATTTATTTTGTTATGGAATGCAACCCATTTCAACCAAAATTGTACAATTTTTCTAACTTTTGTCACAAAATAAAGTTCAGGTGACAATTGACCAAGTGTCCATTTGACAATAACGTTGACTTTGACTTTAAAGTGAAAACTTAGGTTTAGCTGCGAGGTAGCTAAACGTCAATATTTATAGCACTCTTTAACAATCCTAAAATGTGTCCCGAAATGTACAAAAATTCTAGATACTGGAACTAAAAAAACACAAAAAACTAAACAGCAGGTAACTGTAAAATAAGCCAAGAAAATAATCATAAAAGGAAGATTTTAAAAATCTGGATAATGGCTGAAATATTAGCAAAACCATGTAGAAATTCAGGCAAATGTCCCAAAACTTGATCAATTAAGGACAAATTAGCTCAATATACTGCAGCAAATCGCTAACAGAGGCAAGACAATAGAAAAAAAGAGACTTGTGTTAAATGTCAGATAAACGTAGGAAGAGTTTAGCAAAATGTGGATTAAATAATGAAAAGATGACTTAAATGACCCAGAAGATTAACATTAAATATTAATAAGTCAAACTCAATGTTAGCCACTAAATTAGCTTCAACGCTACGTTGATACAGTTTCAAATCTTCAGGTTTTTTGGTCCATAATCCTGGTGCCATGTTTGATCCATGACTGATCTGTGGAGCTGAATGTAATTATGTGGCGTCAGAATATCTGGAGGGTGGGGTTGAGGGGGGGGGGTGTTTGTGTGGTAATTTAAGACACACGTCATGAATTTCATAGAGGAGATGCTACACACGCACACGTATGTCTTTTTGTGTCACACTCTGGTTTCACACACATGCAGGACATTAAAGTGTGATGACAACAGCAGAATTAAATGTTCTGTCTGTGATTCTTTCCATTTTAGAAACCCTCGTTAATATCTGTTTGTCCTCAAAACACTGCCTTCACTCATTAGCATGGTTAGCATCCATTATTGCAAGCAACTGGAAGCAATTCAAAAGCAACTCTTGGTTAACAGGAGAGCAGAAAACTAAAACTATAAAAACAGACCCCAAAAAAAAAAAAACAGTTACATCAAAAACAATTTAAAAATCTAAAAATCATTATGAAACATTTGGAAAGTAAACTAGGTTTAGCTAATAATGATGATGAGGTTTAGTTGTTTGGTTCATTTGTTTTGGCTGTTTTCCATCAAAAACACACAGCCAAAAGTTACCCCCAGGGTAAAAAATTATTAACGTAAATACGGCTCAAAAGTGGCTACAGGTGTTTGTGATCATGATTATCCTTAAGTTTAAAAAGGACACATCAAGTCAGCCAAAACCACTGTTAGTCAGTTTTTATCTAATGGGGAAAATATATCTATAATTACTGACATGTGGCCCAAAAAAAAGACCATAAAAAAAAGCAACAAACAATAAAAACCAGAAAAATAATAAATAATAAGTGAAGGTTTTGTTAATGGAACACATACAATGTGAAAAGTAGCTAAAACAATTCTTAAACATGTATAAATCGACCACAGCTCATATGACGTCTGATGGAATTTTATTTTTAATCCTACGGCCCTAAAAAAACTGTATCAAGTACAGCTTTAGCCCCAGGGCCAGACTTTGAACATGCCTGTTTAAAAACATGTTTAGACAGCGATGTATAAATAAATATATATAAATATAAAAAATATAAAATAAACATATATATATGTGTGTGTGTTTGAAGGACACTGTTGTCATCACCTTCACCCTGCCCCCTCCCCTCCCTCGCAGACCCAACGTTTGCGCCCTGCAGCAGGTCCTGGGAACCAAGAAGAAGTACTTCAGCACCTGCAGGAACTGGTACAAAGGCTCCATCTGTGGCAAGAAGGCGTAAGTTTGACCTAAAATGACTCAGTCCGTCAGTTTTCTTGTGCAGACCGGTCGCCGACCAATCACGGGCTGACATTCCTGCCAGCAGCAGTTTACAACATTTCAGGTTATCACTGAATGAGCCACTCATTAAAAGCTCAGATTTCTCTCCACCCTCGACCTTTGACCTCTCCACCTTTCTGAAGATGATTGAAAGTGTAGAAGTTTCTGGTATTTGAACTCATCAGTCTGAACAAAGAATCTTTCTGTCTCTGCTCTTCTGGCCATGTCCCCTGGTGTCTCTGGTTTTAAGACATTTTTGCAGCATTAGTTTACAACAAAAACAATCATCACTGTCTCCTGAAAATGATTTCATGGTTTCGTATTACAGAAATATCTGAACTTAATTCAAAGACTTTCGAACAAAACCTTTCGAAACAAGTCAGGATTCAGAGGACACGAGAAAAGTTCAACTTTTTTTTTTAACTAGTTTTTTTTTTCTATCAAGTGTGGTTAGAACTTAGTTACATAAATAAACACATAAAACTTTTATTGTAGTTTCACTCTTTAGCGTCTTCTAAATTTCTTCTAAATTTTCTTTCCCACTTTTTCTTTTCCTACTTCAGCGACCCCTTCATTTCCAAAACAATTCCTCCTCTACTTCAGCGACCCCTTCATTTCCAAAACCTCCTCCTCCTGAGTCTCAGACGTGTCGTGTAGCCTCAGGAGAACTTCATCCAGTCGGAGGCCGCCTGCCCCGACGTGACAGAGGCATTACTTCCTCTCAGGAAGAGTTTAATCTCCTTTACTGCCTACAGTGTCTGGGTTGTCAAGGGCGACTAACGTTACACGACTCCAAAGTCTTAAAACCAGATTTAAAACATTTCACAATCACACACACAAAGAGCCTTTGAATATATTTCATAACACCCCTCCCACGACCCCCTAAAAATGTCTTGTAGGTTGGCCTTAATGACTATTTTATTTAAAACAAAAAGAAGCTCTTTTGAACTCAGTCCAGGTTCAGGGCAGTGATTGGACCCAGAGCCGGACTTTTGTTTTTTTTTTACTGTACAAGAACAAGATCCTAATGAACAAAAATGGACATAGAGTCCAGGCCAGAAGTCGTGTTTCTTTCCCTCTATGGTTACAGTGAGGACATTGTTGGCAGCGGTGCAGGAAAACCACCCAGCTGTGATTCAGTCCACACTGGCTCTGGTGTTGACGAGTGATCAGGACGAGGGTCTGAGGGTCTTCTACGGGATTTCAACACTGCTGCTATTTTCTAATTATCCACCACAGATGGGGTCACAAGGTTTAAGAGATCAGATGAATGATTCTCAGATTCGAGAGTTGAATTTTTTTTTTTTTAACTAGTTCACTTTCACTTCCTGTCTTTGTATCTTCTCTAAGAACAGTGCATGTTGGCTGACTCCCAGGTCCAGAACGCTATGACCCAAAATTAGTTTTGTAAATAATTCGTCAGGCTGAGAGTTTGTCTCTTAAGTTTATTTCACTCCCAAAAACCAATAGTTTTTTTTTAAGTGAATGCTGCGTGTCAGTGACTCAGAACCCACTGTTGGTTCTGGTCAGTCATCACGAGGAGAAGTCTGACATCAGGAAGGGGAAAAAAAGACACTTGTCCTGGAAACAAGTGCCACAGATGACAGCTGATAATGGAACAGGGGGAAAATAGTCACGTTTTATCTGATGCCACCCATCTGTTTCCCAGTATCTGGGTGTGTGTGTGGGTGTGTTGGTGAATATTTTGGTGAGGTCATGAAGCTACAGTCGGGATCACATGAGGACCTCTGGACCAAAAGTCTGGTCTCCACAGTTTGCTTTGTTTGCAGTTGGCCAGTTGCTGCAAATTTCCTACAAAGCTGCTTTTTCGTTTTCACCAACAAAAAAAAAAGAAAAAGAGAAACAAATTCACAGATCATTCACAGTGGGGGGACAAGAGTCATACTTTGAGAATCACTTCATTAAAATGACGTAAACCCTCATTTTTATTTAAGATGAAAACCAACACACAGTGGTCTGTCCAAGTGTAACGATCGACCTTTGGCAGAAAACTATGGAAACTGGTATACATGTATGCAAAAGAGTTCCCATCCACTCCTGTGTACTCTTCATTGTACTGCCAAATACTGTACAGTAACAGTACAGTGGCTACATTTTCTGTTGCCGAGCGCAGCTGCTGCGGAGCCATGACCTCACGTCCGTCTGATGAACAGCAGTCTGTCCGTTATTTATGTTTCAGATTTTAGTTCCTGTCAACCCGTGTTCACTGCTCTGTGAACCAAAGTATGGAAAACATACGAGTTATTATCTGGTTAAAAAGGTTCATAAACAGTGGATTAGAGAGGTCTCTAAAACTGTCTGAGCTTTCTGAGAAAGTCGACGGGAGAGTGTTGAAGTGTTGAAGTTTTTTGGAATCACAGTCTGTACCGATACTAATCCAGGTACTTGGATTGTACTTGTTGTACTTTTATCCATTTTGGAGGAAGATAAAAAGGTGTCAAACTTCAAATCAAATCTTAAAACTTTTCTCCCTTATTTTTCTTTGTCTCCTTGGTCCTCTATATATGTACTTATAAAGTATTTAGCAGATATAATGAAGCAGCACAAACAGGTAAAAACCACATTTTGTTTTATTTATCTTCTTTTTTCTAAATCTGCAGTGTTACTGCAGTACTGAGAACTTTATACACTGCACTAACGCAGTAATCATTTCAGTGACTGGAATGAATACATTTTTGCAGCTCTCTGTCAATATTATTGTCTGACCTCTGGTCCAGATCAAATCGAACCCACAGACGCTCCGTGTAAAGATTCCTGTGTGTGATTTTATTTTTAAAGAGCAGCTGTGGCTCAGTGGCTAACGAGCTCATCTGTTACTGACAGTAAAAGGTCACAGGTTCTGAAATCCTCAATCCTTTCTGCCTCCGCCCGACCGTGACCCTGATTTAGTCGCTGTGTTGCACCAAAAGGGCTGCCAACACAAAAACGGAGCCAAATCCCACATGTGTGTATCATCCACTGCAGTGACCTCTGAAGGCAGCAGCAGCCACGGTCATTTTAGCTACAACAACAGACCTAACGGCGGCTAAAGATCCTTCACTCCGAGCTGGAAATACGGTGAAGGCAGACATAGAAAAAACAGAAGTAAAAAAAATGTAAGAAACATCAATATGTGACCTCGTCTTTAACGAACCACAGAGAGGCTTTGAAGAGCTCCTGGTTAAACCGCAGTGTTCAGTGTCCACTGACTCTGTGGCTCCTCTAGTGGCTGCCAATGTTGACTCACGACTGGGCTTTTTTTTTCTAGTGTAATGTTTTGAATGATGTGTGTGTTTTAACTTGGACAAACATTCTTAGAAATATTAAAGCCAAACTGCATGAAATACTTAATTGTGTCCCCCGACTCTGTGAACACCATCAAGTCAACTCTGTGCCGCTCCATCTGAGGTTCTCCTGTTAGCGTGTTCTCTAAGGCTCCCTCTTGAGAGATCTCTGCTCCACAAATTTCCATAAGCTGTTCCTTCCTGAAGCTCAGCTTTTTTTTTTTTCAACCACAAGAAGTTGACGGCAGATCAAGATTGTGTGTCTCCTAGGGAATCAGATTAAATCAGAGAGACACGCCCGTCTGTGTTTCAAATTAAAGCACTTGAAAGGCCAAAACGCTCTGACTTCTCTGGTAGCTGCGAGCACTTGAATACATTTTTTTTCTAATCAAATCCAGAGAACTTTAAATAATACCTTCAAGCCTAACGGCAAAATCCCCACTGATCTTAATGCAGTTGTGAATTTTAATGATGAAATTCCCAGGTAAAGACTAACAACTTCATGACAGCGCTGTTATGCTAGTTTTAATGCTTAATCGGTACTCGCTGCCAAGAAACGATACGATATACAAAGAATTTTATCTTGACTCAAACCACTTCACACCATTATGCTAGTACAAGTACAACGCAGTACAGAATACACCTTACAGGTATATGGGGGTCACCAGAGCTCCAGGTCAACTAGACCAGTGTTTCCCAAACATTTTTTGGGGGGATCCATGTTTTAAAAGTCACAAACCTTCACGACACAAGTCAATAGACATTATTTGTAAACTCCTGGGAAACATTATGCAAGATGACCCAAATGCAGGGTCTTGCGACCCACATGAGGGCCGTGACCCAGTCTGTGAAGTCCAGACTGTGTGTTTGGAGAACCTCGGTTCCACTCACTGCTTCCTGCAGCTCGAGTTATCTGTAATTTATACGAGACACTGGACTAAGTCTTGTTTTTCTGTCCAGTAATGATGTTTTTTTTTGATTCTCCACTTGCTTTTTGGATGCTCTTACACCCTCCTGCTCTGTGCTTCTTAATGTAATTTTCCCAAATATGGATTAATGGTTGAGTAAGTACCCCCCCCCCCACTCCCAACCCCGTCCCTGAGCAGTCTTTAACATTCTCAGTCCAAACATTCATCATCCTCTCCTTGCAAATTTGTCAAAACATTTTTTTTACTATCCTCTCAGCTGTGAGTTCTGACTGATTCTTTCCAGCATTTACTAGATAATAATACACACTGCATTCGTTTTGTCTGGCGTTAAAGAGGCAGTACGTGGACGATTGCATCCTGGCGTCCTGCACCTGGAACCAAGTGATTTCATCTTTGTCCACAATCGGTTGCTTCACTCACAGTTTGTCGATGTGTCGTCTTTGTCTGACAGCATGGTGGTGTACGAGTGCTGCCCTGGCTACATGAAGCTGGAGGGTATGAGAGGATGTCCTGCAGGTGAGGGCCTCAATCCAGAGACTCCATGTGGACCACGACCATTACTGTCATCATGAACCATCCCTCTGTTCTTCCAACTCTAGTGGCGCCCATTGACCATGTGTACGGAACCCTGGGACTCGTCAAGGCCACAACCACGCGGCAGTACGCAAGCATGTCCAAGGTGAGAGAAGAAATCGAAGGCCAGGGTTCCTTCACCATGTTTGCGCCAAGCGACGAAGCCTGGAATCTGCTGCTACCTGTGAGTAGACCCGGACCACTCTGACTCTGGCCTAGCTGGGTCGGAACAGAAATATAAAGTCGGTACACCTTGGAACCTATGTTGTGATTTTCTTCCTCAGGAAATGCGCAGCGCTCTGATTGGTAACGTCAACGTGGAGCTGTACAACGCTCTCCACTTCCACATGGTCAATCGTCGTCTTCTCACCAAAGACCTGAAGGATGGCATGACTTTAAAGTCCATGTACACCAGTCAGGAACTCTACATTAACCACTACTCCAACGGGGTCGGTGGATAACCTCTTCTTTTTTCCATTTTTCGTCTCCATCTCCACTTTGTCCAGGAAGCTCATCTCAAACCTGTTTCCTGTTGTTGTCCAAGGACAGCAATTTATGGACTGCATTTAGTGACGATGACTCTCTGTCTCCGTCCCTTCGTGCAGGTTGTGACGGTAAACTGTGCCAGAATCATCCATGGGAACCAGGTGGCCACAAACGGAGTGGTGCACGTGATTGACAGGGTCATCAGTGTCGTCAGCAACACCATTGGGGACTTCCTGGAGATGGACCCCGACTTCTCCTCTTTCACTGTACGTAAAGCAAATGGAAAGTATTTTTGAAAAATCGCAGTAACTCCTCAGACGGACTTGCAGATTGTTCTGCCTTGTTTTCCAGACGGTAGCCTTGACCTCTGATGTGATGGACAAGTTGAACCAGCCTGGCCACTTTACACTGTTCGCTCCGACTAACGACGCCTTCAACAAACTGAGCCCAGGATATATGGAGAGAATCATGGCCGACAAGGATGTTATTGCAGGTATCAAAGTCAAAGAGTCAAAGAGTTTGCCCACGATTTTTTCACGATTTTCCTCCCTTCTAACGTTCATCGTTTTTACCCTACCAGCCTTGGTCAACTACCACCTGCCGAACAGTGTGCAGTGTTCAGAAGCCATCATGGCCGGAATGGAGTACGAGACAGCAGAGGGCAGCAGCATCCAGATCGGCTGTGATGGAGACAGTCTGACGGTCAACGGCATCAAGATGGTCCTGAAGAAGGACATCGTGACCAGCAACGGCGTCATCCACATCATAGACCAGGTCCTCGTCCCCAACTCAGGTAAAACTTATTCTGTGCTCAATCATGGAGCCGTGATACTGCATGGAGCCACACGAGGGGGTAGTGTTTGGAACTATTGCCTCCCAGCAAGGAGGTGGCTGATTTACATTCTCTGCCCGTCTGGTCTTAGGTTTTATGCATACATCTGTAAATATTCCAGCTTCCAGATTGTTCCAGTCGCTGGATGCTGTCTGTGTCGGGAACTCAGTACTTTTCCCACTTTTTTAGTGCTTGACTTTTGCCAGGGTGGTGTATTCTGCACAGCTTCTTGTTTGGATCCAAAGTTGGGTTTTGGGGTTTTTTTTTCTGTGAGCCAGATGTGCTAAGATCTCAGATGGTAATTAGCCTAGCATCTGGAGCTAAATGTCATGCGCTTGACTCAGAATGAATACTTGAAATGTGTCCAGGTGTCAATTTGAATTTTAATTACTGAAACACTGATCACAAACAGAGCTGGTTGTTGCAAATAATGCAGAAAAGGCCAAACAAAAAACATTTTTGACTGAAAAAACACATTTTTCTATAATGTGATTAAAAAGATATTTTTTGTTATTACGACACAGTAGTGATCATCAACTGGCCCACCGTCCAATCTGTTAAAAATAATGTTGACCACTGTGGTACAGTTGTGTTGAATCAATCAATGTAACTGTGACTTCATGCTCCTAAAATGTTGTTTCCATGATTGACAGCCAAGGAGGTGATGGAACTGATGGGAGACAACCAGAGCGCCTTCACTGACATGGTGTCTGAACTGGACTTAGCTGAGGCCATGGGTGCACAGAAAGAGTACACCGTCCTCGCTCCCCTCAACACCGTCTTCACCAGTGCGTTCATGTTGGGTTCTTTTTTTATTATTAATACCAGAATTAAACTGTGTAAAGCTGATGACCTGTGTGTATACGGTGTCTCCGTCACATCTGGAAATTGTCTACTGTGTGTCTGTCAGATGAGGTGATGAGGATAGACCAGGATCTGCTCAGGATCTTTCTGGAAAATCACTTCCTGAAGCTGAAGATAACGTTGAGCGAACTCTACAACGGCCAGCTGCTGGAGACACTGGCTGGAAAAATGCTCAGAGTTTTCATTTACCGCACTGTGAGGAACCTGACGTGTGTGTGTGTGTGTGGTTATGTGCAGGCGTGTGTTTGCTGCAAAAGAAATAAACAGAGTGAAAAGTAAAGAGGTGAAGATGATGAGATTAAACTCCCGCGGTGCCAGACTCTGGACATGGAATCCGGCTCTGGGTAAACAGAGTTGGTTTCTGCCCTGACGTTAGAATCATTTTCATTTATTACTGGCCGTGTTTTCCTGTTTCACTGGTGCAGAACTTCCTTTCCTTTAATTCAGGCGTGTCCAGGGTCTGGCCCTGGGCCAGTAATGGCACATGGAGAGATTTTTGGTTCCGGTGCTTTTTTAAAATTCATTTTAATTAAGTAGGAAATTCGAAAATTTATCTTTGCTGTGAATGATTTGCAGGACTACATCATTCACATTTTCATTTTGAGGTCTAAATTTAGTTACCTGACAGATTTAATTTATCTTCTTACTATTTTTCTTGCTAGCTAAGGTCCGAAGTAGCTAGCTAAAAGCTATTTAGCAGTCTTTTGGCTTACTCGTATATTGTTACTTTTGACTATTTGTAAAACCTTAAGGAGAAATTTGGCTTTCAACAGGTTAAATGTGGGAGTAAAATGTATGGTTCATGGTCTCTAATGTTTTGGTATATTTACCCAAGTTCACTGCAACTTGTAGCTAACGTTTAGCTATGTCTTTTTTATAGTTTTTCTTTATCTCTCTCTCTCTCTCTGTTCCTTTGTCAGGCGGCCTGCATTGAAAATTCTTGTATGTTGAAAGGCAGTAAAGAAGGAAGTAATGGAGTATTTCATCCCATGAATGCCCTCATTAAACCGGCTGAGAAGAGTATGTACGAGGTCCTGATCGCTGACGGACGGTTTAAGTAAGAACGCCAACCTTTTCCATGTCTATTTCTGTTTTTACAACCATTATCAATTGAAGAATTTGAATATTTTTTCATATTTTGAGAGCCTCCTTTGGCAATGTCAAAAGTCTGAGAAAGTAATTTAGAAAGAGTGGAGGTATACTAGTGGTAGAACTAGAAAATGATTTGTTTTTCAAAATTAAAATTACAGAAAGTTGATGTAGGTGTTTAATATATCAAATTCTCTCCGTCGTGGCCAACGCTGGCAGCAGTGAGTCCTGGTGGATAACTGAGGAAACAGATGTGTGAAAGAGTGGGACCAAAGATGTTCGTGTGTCTTACACAAATCACATCCTCAACTTTATTATATTCCAAAGCCAAAACCTCTGTGGCCAAGCCAAGAAATGAGCAAGGAGTGGGTCCTGATCCAAATGTGACGTAGAGTTTTGTCTTGTCTTCTACTCATGGATGACGTTCCGTGTGCGGAGCTCAGTTTGATGGATTTGACAACAGACCGGCTATAAAACGGGAGGAAACTAATGTCCTTATCGTTCATAAAAACTGAGATTTTTTCCTTTGTGGATTATGTAACAGCAGTAATGAAGACAAAGGTGCAAAGGTCAAAACTGACCTTTTTTTTTTTAACTTTCTACTGCGAATCTGTAGGATTTTCCTGTCACTGATGGAGACTGCAGAACTGACAGATCTACTGAGGCAAGAAGGATCGTACACCGCCTTCGCTCCAACCGACGACGCCTTTAGCAGCCTCAGCAGGGAGGACATGGCTCTGCTCAAAAGTGAGTCCAGCCGATGCTGACTCACCTCGACATGCTTTAACACAGCGTTGCACTAAAGAGAACAAAAGTGGCCGGCAACAAAAAAAACTTTTGACACATTTGAAATACTGCTTCTCCGTGGCTGACAGGTGACCTTAATGTCCTGAGAACCATCCTGCTGTACCACTTCAGTAATGGCATCTTCATCAACGGAGGATTGGAGCGAGGAGTTACCAACCTGCTGAAGACGCTACAGGGCAACAACCTGCAAGTTATGTCTGTGAGTACATTTTAGGCTTCATTTCTCCTCTTAGTGGAGGCAGAGTTGAAGAGTTGAAGTAGTTCTCATGTCTTACCTCTGTGTAAGAGGTGGGCGGAGCATTCATTTAAAGGTAAAGGCACAAAAGTCTGCCGTTCAAATGGCATTCATTTAAAGGTAAAGGCACAAAAAGTCTGCCGTTCAAATGTGACTCATGACTCATCATCCATCAAAAGACCTGATCCTAGAATCCACCCAGCAGTAAGGTCAAAACTAATGGCAGAGATTTAGAATGAAGCCCTTGGCAAGACTTGACATCTGTTTTGACCCCAACTCAAAATTTCAAACCACCCTCATCCTCCAATTCTCCTCCCGTTTGTTTTGTTGAAATGTATTTCCCGTGAATCACTGATTTAAAACATCATATCAGCCACACACAGATAAAATAATAGACGGAATAATAATAGGAAAACAGCAGAGAGTAGAGTGATATGACGGAGGCTAAAGGAAATATTGAGTGTGGGAGGCAGAGGAAGTAGAGGAGAGAGGAAACCAAACCCCAACCTTCTCAGCAGCTCCTCCAACGCTGTGAAGACAATAACACTGCTGGAAATTTAGGAATCGAACTTCCAGATGTCACTGCCAACACTGGAGCCACTGTGTGGGAGTTTCTTTTATTTAAGTTAAAAGTCTAGGAATAAGGGGTTCATCAGGTGCTAATGTCAAAGGTTAATTTGGCTTAAAAGTCGTTTTAAACTCATTTCTGAAATGTTTTTTTTTTCCAGGTCAACAACTCTATTCATGTCAACTCTGTGGATGTTCCAGACGGCGACCTGATGGCCACAAACGGTGTGGTCCACGTGGTGAAGAATGTTCTCTATCCTGGAGGTGAGACCACCACGATCTTATCACAGTAATAATGTGTGTACGCTCTTTACCCAGAATCCTTTGTCTACCCCGCTTTTCCACCTTATTGCTCACAGACCTCCCCGTGGGCCGTCAGGACCTCCTGGCCCTGCTGCAGAAACTGATTAGGTACATCCAGATAAAGGTAGGTGGAAACAGGAGACACATGTGAAGACTGTGTCCTGAATGTTTCAGACTTGAAACTGGATTTTCATGTTCATTTCTGTCTCCCTTCAGTTTGTTTCTGGCTATTCTTACACCGAGATCCCACTCACCTTCATCAGTAAGTGACGTCGTCGTCATCGTTGTCTGTCTACGATGAGCGTGTGAATGTGAATGTGACTGCAGCTAATTAAAGCCTCTTCTGTGTCTTGGCAGAGAGGACCTACACTACGACTCATTACATCGAGACAGGTAATGTAACAGCTCTCACACGAAGACGGATTCTTCTGTTCTCAACTGAAGGAGCCTCTTGGATGAGAGGTCAAACGTCTTCGTTGAGAAACTTTCACATCTAGTTGCCTAAACAGAACTCTTCAACCTTGACCAAACAAAAACCCAAAACAGGTTCTTCAGTTTCCCTTCTTCCTTTATACAGCTCCTGAGATCAAAAAGGTCACCAGGGTCATCGGGGGAAATCCCTCCACAACAAAAGTCACCAGTCATCAAGTCATCGAAGGAGATGCATCCTTCACCAAGGTCTCCAAGGTCATCGAAGGAGACCCAATGATCACCACAGTAACCAGAATCATAGAAACGGAGCCCACTGTCAGGCTGGAGGTGGAGGGAGAGGCTGGGGTCAGGAAAGTCACCAGGGTCATTGAGGGCAAACCGCCCACCACTAAACTGACCAGAGTTATTCACGGAGATCCAACCAATACCAAGGTCACCAGAGTGATTGAAGGTAGTTCCTATTTAGAGATGAGTTTTACTCAAACACTGTGAGTGTGGAGTTAATGGCACCAATACGACTCCTTGTCTGTTGCAGGTGGAGAATATGGTTCTGATGGAAAACGAATCCGAGGTCAGTCCACTCACAAAGTCTCTTCCACCTGGGTCTGAGAAGGGTTTTTTTGAGACGGGGCCAGGGATGGGGGTGGGGTTCTTGGTTGCCAACCTTTTTACTCTCTTTACTTTGTGTACCCTGTCAGCCAGCACTCAATTCTGAAACAAACCTGAAGAAAATCGTTCCACTGTGGTCCCGACAGTCATCCAAAATTTAACTGGTTTTGGCCACAGAAGCTCTGCCATAAACGTACAAAGCTGCGGCAGTTATGTCACTTTCTGTTGGGTGAACATCCGAACGTATCAGTAATGACTTACTTAGGACAACTTTTGGCCTGACACCATCTAAAACATCATGATCTCATTCCAGCTAGTGTTTACGTAGGCCTCAGTAATGATGCTGCAGAGGAAGGGGTGGCATTTTAAAGCCCATTACATGGTTAAACACACACACACTGCCAAGAACAAGTCAAGGTTTTGTAAAGCAGCAGTGGTGCACCACGATGTTGGATGTGCGTCTCATCACTTATCCATCTAATTTCATTTCTCCTCCCAGAGGTTTTGTGTCTCGGCCAAGACTCCCGCCGTTACTCATACTCTCTGTGTATGTCTGTGGCCTTTCCATGAAGTCCATAAATAACAACTAGCCTGTGTGGTTGCAGGGGCAGTTAGAACTAAATCTCTGGTGTCTTGGAACTTTTTAACAGGCTTCGATCTGCTTTGTGTCATGGGTCACTGTTAGGGACTAAAATAAAGGCAATTTTCAGCCTGGAAATTATTAATAGAAAGTTTCTTTGTGGGGCTACATGCTAAAAATGGTCGAGGTAACTGTTTAGCACGTTTTATTGATGCTAAGGGTCAAACTACAGATTATATGCATGTCGTTATCACAACAACCTTTTGTCGTTGTGACCTTTGTTTTATTCTAAATGACAACATTTGACAGTGTTGTTGTACTAAATTCCAGGACTGTGACTGAACGCAAACTATTGATTTATTTTGGACCTGAATTTGTTGGTAGTCCTCTTGGCCTTGACCCAAAGTTCCTGTTTTTAAAACCAAAGTCTTGAGTGACCTATGTGAAAACCTGGTCTCTGTACTTGGCTCTGACTCCATTCAGTGACTTGGACTGGAGTTCAACTTCAACTCGACTTCCTTTCTGTGACCCAGACTCAGATTTTGTTGAAACCTAAACTGCTTAATGACCACCAAAAAATAATTTATTTTGTTGAAACCTAAACTGCTTAATGTCCACCAAAAAATAATATTTTCTTAAGTATAGATTTTTAATAATGGTACGAATCAAAAGAACTAATATCGAGACAAGGATTTGGAATTAGAAAAGAAATAAAAGTAAAGTAATAAAAACTGAAGACATTTTCTGTCTTTGTGAGTTTCTAAAAACATGTTTTAAGAACATATGTGCCTAACTGGTGAGGGAGCAGAGGAGGAGGAGGTGTGTGTGTGTGTGTGTGTACCTGTCAGTCTGTACAGTTATTAAGCCATTAAATGACTTTCAATCTTCTTCTCTGCTGCTGCTCTGAAGGTGGAGGCAGAATCACCGCGGTGAAAGAGCCTCATCTCATTGAGGGTAGGATCCTCGACCGCGAACATTTCATCAACGCTTAAATTAACCTGTGGTTTATGTTTGATGGTCAAATGTTTGGTTGTTTTTTTTTCCTTGGTTTGTTTTCAGGGCCAGATTTCTCCAGAATCACCACCATCCACGGCAACCCCAGCCTGGTTAATGAGGAGTCAGAGAGAATTACCAAACTCATTAAAGGTAAACATTAAAAGCTGCAGACGTATGTGCTATAAAGTTGAGAGTTATGGCCATAATTTAACGTGTGGTGGTAACTTTACTTATGTTACAGAGGGGGGGAAAACCAGTGCTGCCAGGAGAGGCCCAGGTATGTGGTCCGATTGTTGCGTAACTCATCCAAACCCTTAGGAAAGTTAAAGTCAGGTCTTCGCCAATCTTTAGGGGTCTTTAACCAAAGATTAAAACTAGGGATGTCCGACACTATCAGCCAACCGATATTATCAGCCAACTGACTGAGTGTGTTCAGGTAAACCTGGGTAAAGAAAGTAAATGGGTTTCGAACCATAACTACCCACTGACTTCCGTCCTAGATAGATAGATTGGGAGGACCCTTTGGGAAATTTAGGCATTTCTGTCACTTTTCCCAAAACTTCTTGTTTGCAGTTGGAGTGAGGAGAACAAGACTGGTCAGGCGTCACCACAAGCCCAGGGTGTGAATCCATCAGCGAGAGATAAAAAATAAATGAAACAACTTCCAGCTCACCGCAGAGACTGAATGCCACCACCAGAGCTCCTGGCTGAGCACTGGAGAACCACCAACAAAAATTTTTTTGGGATCCACAGGGAGCAATTATATCAACCTAGCTTTGTCCCAACCAAGCACAACAACTGTTAAATACCCAGTCTGGGTCTTACTTCTTTTGGCATGGCATGATGTGTAATAACCAGATAATGTCAGTATAAAACTATTTTTAAAAAATCACCTTCATGTGTGTAAGAATGCATGGGAAAAATGGAGTTACAAGGTTGGGGTAGTAGGTGTGTAAGGTGAGAAATATTCTGCCATAAAGATATATTTGTGATGTCTGCTTTTTGAAAAGCTTTGGGGAGATTTCTGTATGCTTTTTTTCCATGAAATGAATGGTGCTCACATTCCCCGCAGTGGATGCTGTTTAAAAAAATAAATAAATACTACTGTGTCAAACAGTATTTTGCTACCATACGATGCTGTATCATCCATCTGTAAATGAACAAATGATAATTAAAGAAGACAATCAATTTTTACTCAATGTTCAATGAGTCTTTGTAAGAACGTCTGTTCACAGTTTGGTACATCAATAGTCTCACCCACCGACCCACGTAAAATAATAACAAAATCAAAACCATTAAAACCGTCTAGCACAGGATCTAAGATGAGTCCTTTTATTTGTCCACATCAGAGAAATCCACAAGAGATTTCATATCCATCTAGGCAATGCATATGGTTCTTCCTTTTCATCATCATCATGTTTACACCGACACTCTCCATGTCCCTTTTTTCACAACACCCAGAATTCTTCACTGCGTTCGAGCCTCGGCCTCACAACGTTTTCCCACGCCTTCATCGTATGGCTAATCAATTACGTACCACCCTAGTTACTACAACTATTATGGCTTTGTAGGGGTTTGGGGCTGTATTTCAACCAGTAGATTTAGGGACCAGGTCAAAACTTGTGTACCCACCAATACCACAAAGTACAGTCAGATACTGAAACTCCATTCATTGTTATCTGGTTACTGCTGTTTCACATCGTCAATCATGTTTGATTGTCTTTAATTTCGCCTTCTTTTTTAAACAAACAAGAAATCCCCGTTATGGTTACAAGTGAAAAAAAAATGTATTTTTTGTTTTTTGAGTCCCTTATCAACACAGACTTGAGAAGAAAAGCTTCTTTGTCCTCAAACTTTTCTCTTTACACATTAGGCAGCCCCACCGTAAATAAGATATGCCAGATTTTAGAAATTAATGACTTCACAATGAACTCAGTGCCCCTGCTGAGGAGGGCGGCAGAGATTGGACTGAAGTTTAGTCAAGTTTTCAAAGCCCTGTGTGTTGCAGCTCTTTCACAACACTGGTAAACCGATCCAACGCTCCAGCAGCAGAGTTAGCATGAGGACAACCACAGGCTTGACATCTCACAGTCAAGGGAGGGTTTTTGAATGTCCACTGCTGTCCATGCCAGTCACACACACACACACACACACACACACATGCTGATAATGCTGCAGCAGAAATGTAACAGCATAATGTGATGAGAATTAGACTCTAGTGATGCCAGGATATCGAATACTGCGGTGGTTGTTCGCCGGTGTGTGAGCCGATATCGTTCCCTAATCACCATCGTTGGTCGACCACAGACCAGACTTGTTCAAAATCCAGCCCACAGACCAATCACTGCAGCTTTTATAGGTGTCACGTGTCCCACATGAAGCGATTGTTTGGTTCAGAGTATTTTATTTGTCCAAGGCCAGTGCAGAACTTTTGGCTAACTTCTTTGACTTATTGATTTTTGCAGTTAGCATGCCTGCCTTGCAAGCAAAGAGCAGAGAGTCCTAGGGTTTGATTCCCAGAGGGACCTCCTAATGACACCACCCCCACTTGTTAGTCACTTTGGACCGTGTAGCTTTCGTGGGTATCATGACAGTTCAACAAACAGCAAATATTTGGCTTCTCAACAGAACTGTTTGTTGAATCTGTTGAATCTCAACACACGGTCATTTTAAAGCTCTTTGCTTCACACACTTGAACAACATCACACACCAAAAAAAAAAAACAAAAAAAAACCACAGCTTCATTTTTCCAGTGACATGTGAGGACAAAGTCTTTCCCATTCTCCACTGAGCAGCTTCCTTTAAATAGGGAGCATGATGACTAAGCAGCAGCACCTGCGTCACCAGCGCACCTGCAGCCGTGTTCATCAGCAAACTTCACATCACTCAGTGACAAAGGACAAAAATCATCCAGTTGAAAAAATATATTTTTTAAATAGATTAAAGGGCAGAAAAAAACAATATAATATAAAAAAATATTTAAATTTATATATAATTAGAAAAAACATAAAAACGTAAAATATTTCTCATATGCTGATCTTTGTGATACAGACAAATTGAGACTGAGGATTAAGTGGTTAATGTATGTATATTTAAATGGATTTAAAGGAATCAAACTTTTAATGAAAAATCATGAACAATGATTAATTATTGACACAAAGGGCAATGATTCTGAAGCCCTACTCATGCAGTGGGGAAAAATGTGAATAAAAAAAGAACAAATAAATAAAATGCCATGATAAATGATTGAATGTGAAAGATTGAATATGAATAAAAATAAAATGAAAAAAAGTTTGACGGGGGATGAAGGGGTCTCCCTCTGGTATCTGCTTAAATAAAAGTGCTGGATGACTCAGATTCTGGAGTCACAGTTGATCTAGAATTGAACAGATGATTTTGTTCATGTGCGTCTTGATTTATTAATTAAGAGTTTAGTCAAGTATGAGCTCATTCTACAGTCGTCTGCATTATCAGAATGACTGAACATAAAAATAATGAAAATCAGCCCTGGGAAATTTCAGCAGGTTATAAATATAATTGATATACAGAGGTTACGTCGCTGTTTTAAATGAATCTTTATTTTCCGCACAATTTATTCCACATTGATAGCAACTATGTTGACACTTCAACACTATTTTCCCTTTTAATTAAGTTCACATTTAGAATAAATAATTGTGTTAATAATTCTTTCATGTTAAATAATAATGGTAATTGATTTTATCCTTAATTTTAATTATGTATTGTTTAGTGTGACAACAATGTCAGTTTGAAGACTTTTTCTTTCATACAGACTTTTGAATAATCGTCGTACATCTTTAGTTTCTTTCTTTCTGTGTAACCAAGGTTGTCGCAACAGTGCTCAAAACTAAGTATCTAATCTCATGACAGCATCTGTTTTCCCTGTGTTCAAAACCAGATCTTGGCTGGTCTTTAACACAGAACATGTACAGTGACCTCATCCTGCAGAAGTCCAGGCTTTAAAAAAAGGATTTTCCAAGGAAACCAGGGAGGAAAGAAAAGGAGGTTCAGGCCAACAGATGGACAAGGACAGGGAGATTAGAAAGAATAGAAGACCCTACAAAACCAAAAACAGTTCCAGTCCCATCGACCACATACTGAGGATTCATGACCCGGATCACTTTTGTTTAACTCAAACAAGGCCTTGAACCAATCACCTCTGCACCAGAATTATTTGCACTTGCCAACCTCATCATTACGCTCTTAAGCTTTTAGCAAAGTAAACCACTGGATAACAAGGCTTGATGTGATTGAACTCACACTCACCAAAGGACGCCGCTGCCATTTCATAAATCAGAACCATACGAGCTCCTGCTCTTTCAAAGGGAGACTTCTCGTTCCCTCCAGACTCTGATTGTTTCAAAGTATCTGTTTCTGTTTCTTCTTTACATTTATTAAGGAACTTTCCATTCACATTTACACTTATAGAGATGGCAATGAAATAACATGCATGACATGAATATGAACAACGGTGCATTCGATTCCCCGCGGCTGTCCTACAATATTTGATTGCCTCTGGTGTCCTACAGTAGAGCAGGCACGTGTTTCTGATATTTGATCAACATAGCAAAGACCACAGACTGACAAACAGGATGGTCTCATGGTGGACGTTGCATTATCTGCAGAGACGATGCCAAGTATATCACTGTCACACCAATTTATCACATTTTGTCCTCTCATTTTCAGGAAACTAATTCTTACTGGAAAGAAATGTGGAGAAAAAACTAGATCAACAGCAACTGTACTTGTACCTGTAAGACATTTCGTACATATGCTTTGAAAATGATTATATTCAAGGAAGTCCCAGATATCTTATCTTAAAAAATCAATTTTGTTTGTCTTTGAGTTTCCTTCTATTCCTGCAGCACAGTGACCTAAGAAGCACCATAACAGAGAGCAGCAGTACAGTTACTACAGTCAGCAGAAATAATACTACATCTACACTGTAGTACGAGAACCAGGACATCTTATAAGCCTCTGTACGCAGATGTGCTGCTCCTTTATGACGCATCACATATTCCACCCAGAAGATGGCCTTATCCATGGGAGTTATTGGCTGATCTCTGTGCAATCGTGAAAGTCTTTGCATGTTCTCTCTGTAGCTGTCCTGAAGCAGCACTTCCTTCAGAGCTACTTCAAAATTGTGTCCATTGATGTCGGCCAACTGAAGGATCTTTCCAGCTCCTCTCGCCTGCAAACGTACCAGGTTGTCAAACTGGTCAAAGAACAAGGGTATGCCCAGCACAGGAACTCCATAATAAATGGCCTCCTGGATTCCGTTGGTTCCCCCATGGGCTACAAAGACTTTGGTCTGTGGGTGGCCCAGGAGGTCCTTCTGTGGCATCCAGTCCACAATCAGTGTGTTGTTGCCCAGAGTAGAGGGGCGCTCCCCTTTGTGTCTCCAGATCACCTGGTCAGAAAATGCAGTGAAAAATCACTAAGAAGGAATTACTCTTGCAGTAAAATAATACTAATGATTAGCTTCCTCTTTGTCCATAAATTATTACAAGTCTTTGAGAACATAATCATGTTCACCTCTTGGCTGGACACCCTACCATTGTGTCACTGCCTTTTCAGTATAACGGTGCATGCTCTGCACCACATTTACATACTTCTTTGCCACTCCTGACTTCCTCTAACAAAAGTTGTAAAGCCTGGTATGGCAAAATGTGTTTTGTGAAAATAAACTCCATAAATGAATGTAACAGGACACATAAGAAAATGTGTTTGTTGTTTTTTAATGTTGAGATAAACAAAGGAACACCATAAATGAATGTAACAGGACACATAATAAATGTGTTTGTTGTTTTTGCAGCTAAGTTTAACCATTCACTGTGAAAACTACAGCTGTGGTAATGAAACTACAATCAACCAAAATGCTGCTTACTGATGAATACCTCTGATCTTAGCTTTGCATGAATATTTTCCTTCAAGTTTATATTTAAACCTTACATTCTTGCTTGCAACGTGTGTTTTATACCTACCGTAATAAATGTCTGCCCAAAAGCCGTGTGGACACATGGAGCGTAAAATAATACCATTACAAATAAAGAAAAAAGAAACCTTGAACCATTATATCGACAATTTAAAATCACCTACCTTCTGTGGCAACTTGGCAAAAATACTGGCAATTGTGTCAGCAACCTCTTTGGGCAAAGCATTAACCAAAGTTCCCAGAGTCATGATGATCATTCCATGTTCTCCAGCACTCTGAACAAACTCCTCCAGGTCTGACGGTAGAGGTTCTGCTGGGCTACATTGGAACCCACCGATGTAGACAATATTAGGCATCGTGGGTCGAGGGAAGTCAAAAACAAAATCTGACCTGAACAGCCAGATGTCTGCTTCCTGAAGTACTGAGATAATGTCACATTCACCCTCAAAATATTTCTGACAGACAACATCATAGTGAGGGCCCACTATGAATCTCTGTTGGAACAGTATGATGCCGTAGAAAAACAGGTTCTTGGTCCTCTGAAGGAACGTCATGTTGTCGGTTAAACCTGAACCAGGAGCTGGGATGTAGGACGCTGGGGTGGGGGCTATGGCTAAATGTCCTTCACCACTGGGGATCCATCGTACATTCAGAACAACGGGCAGTTTCAAATACCTTGCAAGTAGAACACCTGGAGCTATGGCAGGGTCGGTTAAAACAAGATCATATTTAGAGTCCAGTAAAGTTTCTATCAGACTTTTATCATCAAAGATTTGAGCAGCGCATTGAGTCCAGATTAAATGGACATTATAGAGGAGTGAGAGAAAAAACTTGGTTATTTTGAAATGGGAAATTGCTGAACCCCCATCTTTGAGCAGCTGAAATCAATCAGAAAAAAAAGAAAGGATCTGTTAAATCATAGAAATCAACATATAATACAATGTTTTAATGCTGTAACTCCATACCCTCATTTGCTCCCGAAGGAACTCGTCAAAAAAGTCCTCAAAACGTTCGTCCTCCGTCATATTTATTGTAATTGAGCTATACATTGGAGACTCTTCTGGAATATACCAACTGGTGGACGCTCTGATCACAGTCAGGTTGTGTCCTCTGGCATGAAGTTCCTCCAGGAGAACCTTCATGTTTATCCAGTGGCTGCCATCTACTGGAAACACCAGAATGTTGCCTCCATCGCAAGAAGGCGTGAATGAAATCAGAGAAACACATAGGAGTGCAAATATTCCACAGGATTGATACTGCAGCATGGTTCCTGGACTTCCTAATAAAGAAAAAAAAACAATTGTTTCCTTTAAGACACATTTGTACTACTCCCGATCTTAAAATTCTTAAGGAACACAACAGTTTACACATTGGTCAAAACACAAATCAAGTAGGACATATCAGAAAAAGCATACATGCCATAAACTGAAGACAAAAAATACAGTTTATAAAAAGTAAATACTGAAATGTACTTAACCAAACAGGATGGCTGTTGCTGTTGTGCTGCTGAACTACATACTGACATTCCATCAGGAGGGTTCAAACTCCAGCCAAGATTACTCTTTCCATGTGTGACATCACGTGTTTGTGTCACGTGTAGTTGCTGCACTTGTATTCTGCACACTTTTCTACAATTTATTGTACTGCTCATGAAGATGCTGGTAGTTTATTTAAGGTTCGTCTACTCGGTTCTTCGAGCTTAGCTTGCGATCTATGCCAAAAAACTGTAGAAGCCAGATATATAAGATGTGTCATAACTAGTGTGTAACTGTATAATAAATGATGTTCTAATCTTATTTGTCAGAAGAGAAAAATATAATAGAAACTTGAGCCAGTTGTTAAGAGTTTTATTTGTCTCTTATAACTTCTCTTTTTACACTACAATATTTAAAAAGAAGAAGATTTTTTTAAAATATATATTTTGAACATTTCTTTCACTTCATTCAAAGTTGTTTGTCTTTGAGTTTCCTTCTATTCCTGCAGCACAGTGACCTAAGAAGCACCATAACAGAGAGCAGCAGTACAGTTACTACAGTCAGCAGAAATAATACTACATCTACACTGTAGTACGAGAACCAGGACATCTTATAAGCCTCTGTACGCAGATGTGCTGCTCCTTTATGACGCATCACATATTCCACCCAGAAGATGGCCTTATCCATGGGAGTTATTGGCTGATCTCTGTGCAATCGTGAAAGTCTTTGCATGTTCTCTCTGTAGCTGTCCTGAAGCAGCACTTCCTTCAGAGCTACTTCAAAATTGTGTCCATTGATGTCGGCCAACTGAAGGATCTTTCCAGCACCTCTCGCCTGCAAACGTACCAGGTTGTCAAACTGGTCAAAGAACAAGGGTATGCCCAGCACAGGAACTCCATAATAAATGGCCTCCTGGATTCCGTTGGTTCCCCCATGGGCTACAAAGACTTTGGTCTGTGGGTGGCCCAGGAGGTCCTTCTGTGGCATCCAGTCCACAATCAGTGTGTTGTTGCCCAGAGTAGAGGGGCGCTCCCCTTTGTGTCTCCAGATCACCTGGTCAGATGAGTAAAAACGGCTCTTGTTAGGAACTTTATTTGAACAGACAACATAAAACGATAAACATCAGATTTTGGCTTGTGTGATTGAATCACTGACCTTCTGAGGCATCTTGGCAAAGACACTGGCAATTTCCTCTGCAACCTCCTTCGGTAAAGAATCAACAAAGGTTCCCAGGGTCATGATGATCACTCCATGTTCTCCAGCACTCTGAACAAACTCCTCCAGCTCTTGTTGAAGAGGATTCGCTGGTTTGCATTGAAACCCACCAATGTAGACCACATTGGGCATTGTGGGTCGAGGGAAGTCAAACACAAAATCTGACCTGAACAGCCAGATGTCCGCTTCCTGAAGTAGTGACGTGACATCACATCCACCTTCGATATATTTTTCACATACCGCTTCATAGATGGGCTCAGATATAAATTTCCCTGGAAACATTGCGAGGCAGAGGAAAAAAAAGTTCTTGATTCTTTGAAAAAGAGTCATTTTGTCTGTTAAACCAGATCCAAGCGCTGGGATATAAGAAAGTGGAGACGGAGCGATTGCAAAGTGGCCCTCACCAGTGGTGATCCATCGAACATTAAGCACTACAGGCAGTTTGAGATACTTTGCCAAAAGAAGTCCAGATCCTATAGCTGGATCAGTGAGTACGAGATCAAATTTTGAATCTATCAATCGTTTGACCATATTTTTATCTTCGATGGTTCTGGAAAGGCCATCTGCGAAGAGTGAATGAGCACGAGATTGTATGGATAAAAAATACATTGTTAATTTTAGGAATGAAATTGTTGAACCACCTTCTCTCTGTAGCTGGAAAAAAGAAAAACAGAAAAAAAACAGATCTCACAAATCTGATTTTTTTTTTACTTGATAATTTGGTCATGATGTGCTGGTGCTTCAATAATGACATACCCTAACATGCTCACTTATAAGCGAGCTAAAAACCACCTCTATATCTTCATTGACCTCGACTGTGATTGACGTATACAAGTCGGGCCGTTCTTTGATGTACCAGCTTGTGGACGCTCTCATCACAGTGAGGTTGTGTCCTCTGCCGTGAAGACCCTCCAGCATGACCTCCATGTTGATCCAGTGGCTACCTTCAAGAGGAAGCACCAGGATGTTCCCCCCATCACAAGGTGTAAAGAAACTCTGACATAAACTCTGGAGCAGAAATATTCCGCACAAACGACGCAGCGTCATTTTTCCTGAGATGAAGAGAAACATTGATTAGCCTCAAACACCCTTCAGTGAAATGACAGTGACCGTAAGGGCCCTCAGATCATTTGACTGGCCTAAAAATAATGAATGGGCCAAGGAGCTGTATTGAATAATGGGGAAAAAAACCTTAACATTAACATTAACCTCAACATTAAATAATGTTATTTTTCTGCTTTTGATGGTTTCAGAATGCTAATTCGTAAAGCATTTGTCTCATAAATGCCCCGTCTCTTTGGAATGGTGTCCCATCAAAGCCTTAGCCTTTGTTGTACAGTTTGACCGTTGTTGCGTAAGGTAAACCAAGGGCGTGCGTTCTGGATTAAAAGGAGGGAAGAACAGGGTTCATTCCAGTTAAACAACATTATCTGCTGGTGATTAGTGCTAACTGAGCCAAATGTCGCTGTCATTGTGATGTTTACACAGGGTTTGAACACTAAGGACAGCAAAGGATTAGTGCGGCTGAACGATACCACGACATGTCATTGTCAAATAAACTCTTAAGACTCATGTGAGGTCTGTCTGTTTCCCTTCTCTCCTGCCTGTCTCTGCTGTGCTTATCAGCGTGATCACACTCATTTGTGTCTTGTTCATTAGTCTAACTGGTGTCACCTGGTGCCCTGTGTATATATACCAGGACTACAAGCTGTTATCTATGTGTACGTGTGTACTTGTCAGAAGTTGCCTCCACGTGAGTTCTTTAATTAGGCAAAATGTACAGATGCATGAACCTTTTCCTGCTGCACGTCCAAGACAGTGGCTGCTCTTTCAGTTAAAAACATTGTTACTCAGGGAGCAACTGTGGTTGATATTCGCAATATCAATAATATATTTCTATTTTATTATTATTCATAAGAAATGAAGGTGTGTTATTCACTTAACAAAAACATCTTTAAAAAAACATACAGAGAGAGAGAGCGAGAGAAACACTTACCTCCTGTTGACGCAGCAGCTGCAGTGCTGGTCAGCCGCAGACTGACAGTATATAAAGGTCATCGTCAATTGCATAAACTCTAAAGCAGTGATCATAAACTGGTGGCTCACGGACCAGACCTGGCCCACAATTGGATTCCACAATTGTGAGGATCAAAGAGAAACTATTGTGTGGTCTCCACTATTAACACAACTGAAGAAAAATAATCTATCCTAATAACTAATCCAAAACATTTATGACTGTATTTTTAAAAAAAATATATTTTTTTTTACATGTCTGGCCACCATGGTGCCTGTTCCAAATTTTTTTTGCCCATCCACAGTATTTTATCAGTGTCAGTGTCCGTACTGCAATAGTAGTTTTCAATGTTTGTAGCCACAAGTGTTGCAATAACGAGGACACACACATTGTAAACAGGAAACTGAAAGTTCAGGATGGCTTTGTCTGACCTAGTGTTTGTCTGTGCCACATCCAGCAGAGATGTTACAAGAAACAGCTCTCCTTCAGCTCTTGTGGCCTATTTTCTTTTCTTTTTTTTTTCATGTGATTTCTAGTTATTCTGTGGAATCGCTGTGAAACAACATACCCCATCGAACGGTGGGTTCTCAGAGACTCTCAGCATCACATGGCGACGGATTCAAGGGCAATAAAAGCTTCAAAATCAATTAACAGTGGAAAGTAAACAACCAATGGAAAGAATACCCTCAGTGGTGCCCACTGTGGTCAGTCATGTCATAGCTCTTACATAACAGCCGTAGCCTGTACAAATAAAAGCTACCATTGTGCTATTACAGCGGTTATTTTTGTTGCAATCTGCATAATCCATTTTCATTTTTCAGTAAGGGTCTGGACAGGATAATGAGCGAGTGGAAACTCTGAGACGTCTTAACTCTGGGGTCTCTGACACCTTATACAATCAACACTGAAACCCTGAAAAGGCTAAGGTCTAAAAGGCTAATCAAAACAAATAAATGCAGAACATTTTTTTCATTTTCTGTTTGATAAAAAGGTTGGCTCTCCTAAATAAAAAAAAAAAACATAAATCCCTACTTTTACAGGCAGAGTGGGGAAACAGCACAGCTCATCAGAAGAACGGCCATCATCATCACCATATCAGGCTGTCATTGGTCTCTCTGGTTCCCACTGTTAGACCACTGCAGGGGAAGTTGGGTACTACAGTACTGCGTCTACTCATCCAATACTCTTGGGAAGAGTTTTCTTTCCTGTCCAAGATCCAAGGCCTGAGTTTTCTAATGTCCTTCTCAAAGTAATTTCTACATTTTATTAGGGTCGTTTGATATTAACTTTTTGCCAAAATCCGATATGCCGATATTGTCCTAACCCGTAATGTCCGATATCGATATATATGCAGCCAATTTTTCCTCAAAACTGCAGTAAAAACATATTAGGACTCCATAAGTGATTTTAAGTAATCCGATATGCCGATATTGTCCTAACCTGTAATGTCCGATATCGATATATATGTAGCCCTTTTTTTCCCCCCAAAACTGCAGTAAAAACATATTAAGACTCACATTGCGTTATCGAATTTGTTTTATTACTGGAGAAAAAAAATGATAACGATTCTCACAGATGACCTAATAATGCCACAATATTGATAGGACATTTTATCTCAGTATCTAAATCTTTGGTCAACATCATAGCCACAAAAACATGGCCCACATAGAGCTCATATCTGGACCAGACAGGTTTGGATGGCTCAAAACAGAACAAGAAGATCATCTATTTTAGGTTGGAAATACCTCTTTGTTGGTAACACCACGGCTGTTAGAGTTAAAGGTCTCA